AGGATGACATTAACCAAGGTGTAAATCAGTGATGGAAGTGTGATCTGTGCACTGGAACCTGATAACAAAGCTTCTTACTACAACTAACACAGAAGAATAGATAGAAGTGGGATAAATTAAATTGTAAGGTATGCTAATATGAAAAGGCAGTTAAAATGTTGGTTTTGTGAATGTGTGTACAAATCATTTGCATGTTGATGCTTTTTAGTCTTTTAATGCTTTTTCTTGGTTTTTCCATGTTGTTTTTATAAATGTTATGTTGTACATTTTAGTGTGACATTGGTTACTTATTCTTGTGTATGTGAGCATTTTACAAATTCAAATTAATGGTTCTTTGATATGTATAAACTACAGACGTACTCACTTTTTAAATTTTTTATATCTTGATTATTCAAATGTGTTCTGATGACTTAAGCTTGAAAAAATAAATTCATATAACTTATTGAGGAAAGGGTCCCATTTTAAGTGATTATCAAAAGAAAGGTTATGCAACTTCTTATTATTTCAACCTCAGATTCCTTGCCTTTGACTCATTTTCTGTGAAGAATATACACTAACACTTTATCACAATGTACCAATTACGTACAGAAACGAGTCACAAAAGGGTGGAGGTGCTGTGTCCCTTCACTGTCATTCTACTGCATGGCCTGATGTTAGAATATTTTTTTTCTGTCCTTTCAAAACGTATTTCTTTAATACAAATAATACAATCTATTTTATAATATCTTGCATATTAAAATTGGTGAGATTTAAAGATAATTAAACTATTTAATTTTTGTATTTTCTCCTGAAAGTCTCTGAAATGTTCGGGTTGCAGCAAACCTTGAGTTTCCTTTTCCTTTGTATGCAATGTATGCAAGAGAGATGCATACATTTAATAAAGCATATAACTGATTTCTAAACACAGTGTTGTTGTTATTATTTGCAGCATTATCATTAGCATTGCAAATTATTATTTTTTCATGCTGGTGGCCCTCCAGACTTTGAGAAGATATGAAAAGAACCACTGCTGTTGTGTGATTCTAAATAACATACTGCACAATGAAACACACAACAGAACAAAACATTTAAATATTAGGAAAGCAGATTATTTTTCTTTCTTGATGTATTATCCATGTATTATTTGCCTTTGTACGATTTCATGTTTTTTTCTTTTCTTTACACACACACTTTCTTCCCCATATACATGACATCTCTCTGGATTTTTTCAATTTTTTCATACATTTTTTGTTTTCTTGTCTTTTTCTTTCATATCACTCATTGGAACAATGTCCTGTGTCATTAGCTTCTCCTGCTCTTGGTCTGTTTCAGTTTTGTCTCTTTTTG